GGCACGACCCCAGGCACTGGTGAGAATGTGCAGAAGCCACTCCTGATCTATTATCACACAGCTTAAAGCAAGCCGCATCATCATAGATCAGGTGCAACAAATGTGTTCACGTGCCCATAGACATGTGACCCCTGAATCAAAGAGCATAAAGCCTGGGTAGTTATCAAGTCTGTACAAGGATAGAGAATGTTCATAAATCAAATCCAGGAGGAATGCTGTAAAATCTAATCCAGGTTAATTTAGTTTTTATCTGGGAATAGTTTTATGCAGCAGAGTCCAAAGGCCCTGGTCAAAATCATCATGCTAGATATTTATATAAACCAGTGTTTCTCAACCTGTTTAACTTACTTTACAAAGTACAGTATTTTTATACTGAAGGTTTTGATTTTCTCCAGTTGGGATAGGATGATTTACAAAAGCCAGTGTTCATGAAAATATTTCATTTTAAAATACAGCTCAATGCAGCCACCCTTTTAAAAGTAAATGAAACCTTCCCTTGCAACACAGAGGACTGTTGTGCCAGGGTTTTAACTGAAGCAAAACTCTCTTGATTTTGTTTTGTGGAGAAAGTAAAGATGGTAGCAAATACAGTGCATTCTCACTGACCAAAACTTGGTTATCCAAACAGCAACAGGTTTTTTTCTACCTTGTAATTGCTGATATTGTGGAACAAACTTTTCCCTTTTTAAGCTCCATTTAACAGACTACTGCATCTGTATTCTTAAGTCTGATGCAATAGTGTAACTTGTAACTGTTGGTATTGCATACTGTTCTTTTTAAGCTTTAATACAAGGTTTCATCTCCATTCTAAGTTTTATGCAATAACTTGTAAATGAAAATAAACAAAAGGACAATTATTACATAATCTTGGAAATGTGAAAGACTGAACTGTTGAGGTTTGGTTTTATTTTTAATGTATTTATACAGTTTTTGCTTGCCTGAACAAATTCAGTTATCTGAATGGCTTATCATAAGGTGCCAGATAATCTAGGTAAAAATGCTTTTAATATTATTTCAGTTTTAAAACTCTAATGTATTTGAAAACTCTGAAAATTAACCATGACAATAAGACATCTTCTGACCAACTGAATGTGGATGTGGGGTCAGCTCCATTCTCTTTTATAAGAGCTGATGCATTTTCTCCTCACTGTAATGAACCCATGGTGACTCCCAGATTCCAGGTCAAGTTGGTAAAAATGAGTTAAAAAATTGTGCCTGTAAACTATTTGCATATGATTTGGACACACTGGGCATGTCCAGATGTTCATGAACATTTGGTTCCCCTGGGAAAAGTAACGGTGATGCACCTTGCACTGCTGCTTCTTGTCCCCAGGAAACGCCTGTGCCACATGCACTTTGGCATGAGGCAAGTTATGCTGGTGGGGTAGGGGAGGATGGGGCGAGCACTGGGATGGCCCCTGAAGCCTTGCCTGGGAGCCTCCTGTGGCTGCAGCCATGGTGATTCTGCCATGCAGAGCCTGCCTGGAAGCGGAGCATGGCTCTGGGTGGGCCAGCTCCACTTTTCAGCAGTGTGCGCTGGCCGAGCGTATGTTGTTCCAAGTTTTTTTTCCATGGTTTTCTTGACCCCTGGATATCCAGGGATAAAAAAAACCCATGGGAAAAAAAAACCCAGCACAGTGTACACTCAAGCAGCATGCCCGTGAAGCATGGAAAACACTGGACTGTGCAGTATGTGGCTCTGTAAATGTATCTGCAGCGCCACATGTCACGCGACCATGCTCATCTGGATGCACCACTGAGTTATCAGCATGGAACCCCAGGATGTTATTTTTACAGGATCACTACGGAGAATAAAGTTACAAGACTGGTATGAAACCCTGAAAGCTGTTAAATTCAAGGCTGAGCAAGAAGCTATCAGAAGCAATTGCAGAGCCAAGGTTCCCCTGTTAAACAAGAGTGCTGAATAAAGACCATAATGAGCTCAATTCAAGACAGGGAAGATTAGGTCTTCTCTCCTTTCCCTGAGAAGCATTCACTGCCAGAACTGAATCAGATGAGTAGAGTTCTGTGAAAACCACACCTTGCAAAAAGACTACATAAACAGTGAAAAACTAGGAAGATTCTGGAGATGTTAAGACTCTTTTCCTTTAAGGATTCCAGTGCAACTAGCTTTACTTTTAACTACATCAGAGCTATACAGTCTCTAAGCATCCAGTTTATGCCTTTGTTTTATAACTACTGACACTTTAATCTCTAAAGGTTCAATAGTCAGGCAGTCACATGCAGACTATCACAAAAGAACATACATTATAGTTCACTTGAAAAAAAATTGTTTTTTCACATTTTTGTAATCTAAAACAAAAGGCATTGTGACTAGAAATGAGCTTTTCTTTCCTTCTTTTGGCAAATAGGCTACTGGACAAGCAGTGCATTTTTTTATTACTGTGAAATAATTTATGAATTTGGGAAGATTCCAGGTAGAAAAAAAAATTGGGGCTTAATTCAGAAAACTGCCACAGGGGAAAGCAGTGGTAGTATTCCCTTCAATTCAACAGCCTACTAGTTCAAAAACTCACTCAAGCCTGGGTCTCCCTCGTCTTAAGCCCCTCTTTTGCCTGATGGTTCAAACCTACGTCTCCCACTTCTGGTAGAGTGGCCAAATTCCCTAGTTACACAATGTTCTGAGCTGGGTATTCTCAATCTCTTCACTTGCTACTGTAGCACTTCATATAAAAATAGTTAATTGTTCAGTGGGGCAGGGACTGAAAATCAGGTCCCCCCCTTCTTCTGCTCAATGAATGTCCTAACCACCATACTATGTATTTATTCCATCTCAATGCCTATTTATGCATTCTGCATCAAAATGGAACAATTCCAACTGGTGGACTTAAGAGAGACCCACCTCAGAACACTTCAATGGAGAGGCAGAAGCCCCCATTTCAAATACCAACTCACAATTAGTCCTAGACTGGATTTGGACTTGGTTTCTTACCTTCCAGTAGAATGCACCCACCAATTAATTGTCCCCCACCAGCCTGTGCGTCTCACTACCACCCTCATGTGGGGGGCCCTGGCCTGGTCAGTATGCACAGCTTCCAGGTGGGGCCACTGCTGCCACAGGACCTGCTCAGCTTCCCCAGGAGGTAGGGAAGTGGCAGTGGTGGGTGTGCAGGGGAACTGCAGCTGGGTTGGAGCACAGAGCATGGGGCTGGTAGGAGTGCAGAGCCTGGGATCCATGCTCAGTGGAGTGACTGGAGTGCGGAGTACAGGTGGGCAGGATGTGGATGTGAGTGTGTAGGGTATGAAGGAGGATGACGTGGGTGTGAGGACCCCCCCATTCCCTCATGGTGCACAGCCCCCACCCCCATAGCAGCAGGTGGCGGGCCCACAGGGTGCTCATGGCCCACACAAGTGCTGCCATCTGGTGGGGCACAGCTCCATCCAGTTCCTGGAGCTGCATGGGGTGGCAGGGAGTGGAGTCAGGCCAGTCCACCTTTATTGCACAGGGCTCCCTGTGGCTCACATGCACCTCCTGGCACTTATGCTCCACTGGGGGGAAGCCCTGTATAATGGAGCCCAGCTGTCTTCCCTGCTTCCTACTGCCACATGCAGATGCCAAGACTCTCTTGGGAAGCAGGGGGCAGGGTTCCCGTCAACTTCTTGCAGAGTCCCAGGAGCTGCAGGTGGCATCAGGGGCAGGAAAGGCATCTGGCTCCATCACGTGGGGCTTGCCCCCAGTGACATGCAAGGGTTGGGACCTGCATGTGTGCCATGGGGAGTCCCACGTGATATAGGCAGGCTGGCCTGGCTCCATCCCATGCTGCCACATGTAGCTTCCAGAACTGGAGTATTTGGGTTGTGGTCCTTGCCTCTGTGAATGACTAGTTCATGATGCAAAGTAGAACAGCATCAGCAAGAGACAGAGCGTGCGTGTGAACACATGTGACTACAACATACTTCCTTTTGCCCCAGAATAGGACATTATCTTGGGAGATGTAAGTCCAAATCCCTTCAGGCAGAAGAACTGAACTTGGTGACCCATATCTTGGATATATACATAGCCAGTTACATCAGGGGTGAATGATACCACTACTGCTACCATCACTTCTACTACTACATTTATAAGTTTAGCAATTTGCTACCATTTTTTTTTTTACAAGTGCCCAAAAATTAAGCATTTTACACGGGGTGAAAATGAACATTTCATTTAACACAAAACATTTTTAAAACATTGTCAAGATATATGTGTTTTGGTTCAAATCAAACATTCCCCCCTTTCCTCTTCCCCCTCCATTCCTGCTTCATTTGCCAAAAAAAAAAAAAAAAAAAAAA